ACAAAATACAACTATACAAATATACAAATAAGGTCAAATGTAAAAATATATATATAAAGCACAAGGCATATGGCAGATAGAGTGCAAACCAGTAAAGTAAACAACAGTGAAGAAATAGTGATTGTAGTGCAAAAAACCACACAGTGATGCAGCTGGTCAGGATGCTCTCGATGGTGCCTCTGTAGAAGGTGCACATGATGGGGGCCGGGGCTCTGGCTCTTCTCAGTTTGCGGAGGAAGTGGAGACGCTGCTGTGCTTTCTTGGCCAGTGCTGCGGTGTTGTCAGTCCAGGAGAGATCCTCTGTGATGTGCACACCCAGGAACTTGGTGCTGCTCACCCTCTCCACAGTCACACCATTGACAAGTAAGTGTGTGCCCTTGGCTTTTTGATGCGATCGACCCGGGTTCGATCCGCCTTTTGCCAAACTTTTTTTCCTCCCTTTTTAAATCTCGTATTAGCAATAGATTCTATTTACACTGAGTGAAAATAGCAGCATTTTTAGCAATATGCTATTTACACTAAGTGCAAATATCTATTTACACTATGTTAAAATAGCAGGATTTCTACTATCAAGTATACTACTTGTTGCAAATAGTGGCAATTATCTGCACTTCAGTATTGTAGTACATTATAAAACAGTATGCAATAATAACGTATTGAGTGTAAATTATAATTTAAATTATTAAATGGATGCCACCTTATTGGCACAATAAAGCCCTCCCTACACCTACCCTAACCCTACCCATACTTTATTTTCAACTTTTTGATTATTTCCTTTATTTTTATTAAAAATAAATGCCTTTACGATGTGATACGAGATTTGAAAAGGGAGAAAAAAAAAGTTCGGCAAAAGCGGGATCGAACTCGGGTCGATCGCATCAAAAAGCCAACGACACGCACTTATCCATCTGCGCCGCTGCAGCTGATGATATACAGCCACTTTTAACTAAATGTAAATAGACACCCCATATCTATTATTCCATAGTAAGGGCAATTCATACAATACATTTAAACTGAGCTACTTTAATACCATCTCCGAACTTTCTACCA